GCTCTAATAAATCATGAGGAAGGTTTAACATGTGTTCTGTGCTTTTATAGAAAATTTTAATTTGACATTTTAAAATGTAAGCTAAATTACTTGTATCAACTGTTTTTTTACACCAATTGCAAACAAAATTAAAAAGTGTTAATTCACTTTTACAACATAGATAATGCACCAAATCATAATATTAATAGTACAAAATCTTTATGTTGAGAATGAAGGGTTTTAATATTCTTGCAGAAGTTAATTAGAGCTGTCACAGATAACTTCTATTAATAAAAAAAGGGGAAATGCCACTATTACTAACATCTATAGAAAAATCTCCTTTTCCATTCCAACTAAATCCTATCAGATCCTAAATTCCTTACTTTTTATTTGGAAACTTCTGGCTTTCAAATTTTCTACACTCATCAACTGCTATAGCCAAGTTCAGAGGTCATAGTAATGTGTACCACATTCGTAACTTGTGAGAGAAAGACATATTCTAAGCTCTCTAAACTCAAGGGTGGACCAAGTTATTTTTACTGCAGATTAGAATTAAATATTAAAAACCAAAAGGAAAAAGTAAAGATGAATTTGTTATATATGATTCACAGATTCCTACTGATCACCATTACCACTGCCTGAATTTCAATAAACACCTAAAAATAAATGGCTGCTGTTATTATGACTCATTCACAGGCATCTTTTGGTCTTTAGGTTTATAACAGACAATGGGGATTCATGATCAAAGGATACAGAAAAAATATAGTAACATATTAATTTATTGGCAGCTACTGGGATGTCCTCAACCTGGCAGGCATGTCGTCTCTTCTCACTGTTCACCATCAAAATCAGTTTAGGAATACCCTTACTCCAGTGAGTTATTCCTAAATCATTCTAGCATGCTAGCAGTGGTGGATTTTTCAAAGTACATGACCTATGTGAAATGTCCATAAGATAAAAATATAACATCCCCGAGTTTTCCTCTACTACTGACGTATGCTTCAGTGCTGCAGAGACCTGCAATGCTGAAGAGTAGATAAGATGGGGACAGGCATATATTTTCTACTTAAAAAGCAATCTAGTTTATCACTGCTATATTTCAGCAGGAAGGGAGGATCGTTGGGAAGTGCCTTATCTATGATCTTTACAGTATAAATTATCTGTTTAGGCACTTGCTGTTCTAAGACTTGCTGTTCTGTGTCTCTAAAGAAGGATTCAATAACCACACAGATTTAGCAGCTCAAGACAGCCAGCTTTGCTTTCCCATAAAAGGAGTCAGGAGATATGCAAGAGTATCTTTGTAGCAAGTCTGGTAACTTCGGGGCTTATTTTCATCACTAAAAAAAAAAAAATAGTCATACTCCTAACGGCCTCTAGGAGTAGCCGCTTGGCAGAGTGAGTGAATAACCCACAGCAAAGCCCCAGCATCCAGAGTTTGGACTGGGGCAAGAAGGACAAACGCTCAGGCTCTCAGACCCTGCGAATCCTCCCCTCGGATGTGGAGGAAGGGGATGTGATTTTAACCGTCAGTGAGAAAATGTTCCCTTTTCTTCTTTGGGGGTCCTTAATCAGGGCCCAGATTAAAAAAAAATGCACCACAGAAAATAAGCACAACACCTGCTTCCTTGAGCTCCCCAGCCATGCCAGCAAAGTACCTGATGACGTGGGTGGTGGGCAGTCACCTTAAAGGGTGGGAGGAAGAGGAAGGTTATGGCAACCTTTCACCGAAGCTTCAGTGCCCCTGAACAGAAGAATGGCCTTGAAATCGTTAGGAAGGGTTTGCTCACAGATAGGCTGCTGCTCCTCAGTCACAACGGGCATCTTGACCAACTACAGCTTCCTGCAAACGCTTTTCAAAATGGTGCAGCTTTTCCAACATGTTCATTTCCTTAACTCGGCCTAAAAACCTCAAAAAAGTGCTGTACAATGAACTCTTCAGTGAGAGCTTAATGCAAGCCCAGGAGGCAAGCGAGCAAGGAATGGTGGTAGAAAAATGTGAGAACAGCATGTGGTCCATGCCCTAGAGCGGCCATCTCCTCTGGGTGACATATTAAACAGCAAAAAGTCCCTGCGTCAACAGTTTCCCCCATGGCTACATCTGCAGGCTGCACAGGCGATCTGCAAAAGCCTTCCCTGCTTGCGTATCATCCTCTCTACCCATTTACTCGAGGCACTCAAGCTATTCACATTTTTAAACAATTCTACTTCCTCAATACTCAAAAAGAAATTTTACCTTTAAATACGTTATTGGGCATTGGATTTACAGAGTTGATGTGAGGGCTCAGCTAAAGTATTTTTTTTTAAAAAAAGAGGTGGGACAAGTGATCTTAGGGTGATGTCCTGTTGACAGCATGGGGACCCCAAAACCACGTGGGCAGGGTAAGAGGGTGGCAGCATGGCCACTATGGCCAGGCATCATTCCACAGGGCGGCTTGGAGGAAAGTGGTTTATTCTTAGGCTTATCAAGCCTCCACCTCTGCCAGGGCTGTGAAAAAAATTCTATTCTAACAAACCGCTTATGGGGAAGATTTCTCTTTTGAACCGAAACAACTCTAAAGACTCCCGGGGTCCACGAAGAAGCATCTTTGTTCCCACTGGGAACCCAAGCAGTACGTCTTTATGTTCTTTCCACTTTATCATCCAACTCCTCAGCAGCCCTCCACCGCCCCTGCTATGATGAGAACACGCCGCCAGTGGAAGGAAACGCCACGGCAGCAAACTGCACGCTTGACCAAAACACAGTTGAGTGCAACAGTCAGCAGACTGACTGCAGGGGAAAAAAAAAAAGCACAGAGCAGAAATCTCTCAGATGATATTCCCTGGACAAACCACTCCCCTTGACAATTCTTCCTCAGTACATTTACATCTGTCTGGTGCTTTGACATAAACTGCTGTGGTACAGTGGTTACTGGCAGCACAAGCTCTGGAGCTACACCGGTTCAAACCCCAACTCCGCCATTTATAGTTGTATGGTCTTGGGTGTGTGTTTAGCAAGTTCTGTGCCTTAGTATCCTGATATGTTAAATGGGGATAATAAACAAGCTCTTATGGTGATCAGACATGCTAATACATACAAAGCACTTAGAACAGTGCTCAAAAAAGCTGTCATCATGATAGTTCAAAATTGTTTTCATGTGTATTATCATAGTTGCTCCACAAGTGCTCTATAATGCGGTGATCATTTTATCTTATAATGAGGCTAAGTCAAGTGTTTGCTAAAAGCATAACTAATCCACAGCTGAGCCAAGATTGACATTAAACCTGGGATTTTCACTAAACCTAGGGCTTTTTCCCATTACATTGGATTATTCACAGGTAAACCATAGCAAATTAGCTATTATAAAATATCCACACTAGATACATTCAGACAGGAAGAAAACAACTGAGAATATCCTACCTATTTTAGGAATTAATTCTTAGAATAAATAAAATTAAATGATCTGTTGATAGCAGATGGAAAAGCTGATTTTTTATATTCAGTATATAGCAATTTGGAACTTCCAAAATTATGACATGAGGAAGGAGGAAAAGGATTTATCAATATGTATTATTTATTCTAAATTTTACTTTTTATGAAAATAGGTAAACTCCCATCTTGAGAAAACTCAGTACATGACAATACAAAACTATATGATGATTGAGTAACTCATTAGAAGTGGGATCACTGAAGGGCTTAAATGTTTCTATGTGAAGCTTGCCATAGTACTGCTACTATAATTCAAAGCCAGCAGTGGACTTTCTGGTCACTGATACGTTGGTGACATTCAGATCTAGAAGACTGAGAACCTCATCCTGCGGAATCCTTATACACATGACACTTAGGGCAAGCGTTATCAGACATGCAGAAGACTGGTAAATATAAATGAACAACCGGCAAATATTCCTTCTTTCCTAATGAATTTTACAATTTAGAGCATTTGAATGGATCCCTGAGGGAGGTATTCTTTCATGACTAACACTCTTCCTAGTATTAATTAGCATCTGTTTCTAATTCATAAAGTTTGAATGTGTCAGACTCTAAGAACTTGTATGAGTCTTCTGTTTAATAAGATCAATCTTTTAATCTATGAATCAAGTTTTGATTTTAATATGTACTACACTATAAATCATTCAAATTATCCCTCAAAATTAAAAAAAAAGAATTTTGATATAGCCACATTAAAAATGAAATTTCCAGCAAAGACAGTGTGCTAAAAAATATAACCTTAAACAAAAAGACACTGGCAAGCTCTGAATGACTAGCAGATCATGCTATTCACTATTCACATAATGAGGGTTTGTTTATTTAGCTCACCATCAGGGTTTTGTCAAATCTTAACAAAAGTCCACATATGACACTGAAAAGTAATGCTTTTGGGGGGCTTATCTGACCAACTCACATTAAAATGTCCTCAACCATCTAAGTCACCTGATGTTCACTCCATAACTAAAGAAACCTCCCCTTCATTTTAATTCTGGAAATCATGTTTTAAATGCAAGATGCATAATGTTCTAGAAATATGTCTCTTAAAGCCATCCAGATGGAAATATGTCATTCCTTAGATATATATATTTTTAAAACCTATAAAGTTTAAATAAATCTCACTAGTGAACACTCCTGGGAGATAAAATCATAAAATATTATTTAGGTCAAATAAATGAGTTAGATTTTTCTCTACTGGTCACAGTTTATACCTCAGTCATGCTTAAGGCTGTAAGACATATGACAAAACTGAAAACAGATAACCGAAAAGAACCAATATATATATGTAAGCAAAGTAATAACTGAAAAAAAGTAGAAATGCCTGAGTAATCATTTCATCCTCAAAGATAGGCTTTTTGTTTTTTCCCTTTATTCCTATGGATAATCCTGCCTGGTGTGAGACCAACAAGTACATATCTGTTGACCAAATGACCCAACTCCCTCAACAACTTGAGCAATGCAAGCTTTAGGTCCCTACCACATGTCACGTAGATTCCCCACCTCCCCACTCTCTGGTTCTTGCCTTAAAGTCGAAGTCACGCCCCAACACCTCTCGTACCTGTTTCCCGTCCAAGGTGTACAGGCGTTTCACCACTCCCGAGTCCAGCTTGATGGCATCGGTGATGTCAGTGAGCACCTGCTCAAACGAGTGAGCCGTCTTCTTGTTCAGCAGAATCCTGACAGCTTTCCGTGGCTTCACCCCACTCCTGATGATGGTGACCAGCTTGGGCCGAATGAAATCTTTATTCTCTCGCACCTCTGAGGGGCTCCCTTTGGCCGTGGCCAGGGAAGACACCGCCCGGGAAGCTGAGGTGGTCTTGACGTTCACCGACCAGTTGGGGTTCACGTTCTTGGTGTACTCCAGTTTCTTAAAGGGCTCTATGGAGCCACACACATAACTCTCTCCTAAGGAAGAGAGAAATATATTTAAATTTACACTGAGATGGATTCATTTCTTCTTTCCTACTTAGTTTTCGATTTTTCCTTTTCTACTTAGGGGCGAGAGCTAGCTCTGACTTTTAAAACAATGGAGGTGTGATTAATAATTAATGAAAAAGGAAAATTTCTGGATTTTATCTGCCTCTGTCAACAATAGAGTAGAATCCTGGGGGGCGGGCAATCATCATTTCTTCATCTTCAGATTGGATGACAGAAATATTGATATGCTTGAATAGACCTAAGAGAGGTATGAAATGGAATTCAGAATAGAAAGCATTCTTTAGGATTTACGGATACTTAAATTTGCAGAAAACTTCAAAATCAGGAGTACCTACATATGCTACCTGAGATCATTTAAAAACTTTGAAGAATCAGAACATATCTTAAAATAGTCAGACAATTGACAAATTGGATGCAAGTTTATACTAAATATTTTGTAAAGTCAAATAAAATTCCAAAAGAAAGCAAAACAGTCTCTTCCTTTTTTCCCATGTATACACAGTGCTGACTACAGTGAGGAAGTCAATTCATACTTGCTCATAGGTAAAAGGTTTTTAAAGTATTCAACATAAAAACTGTAGATTCATAAGCAGAGTCTAAAATAAATATAATTAAGTTTTTATTAAAAATGACTCTTGAACAGAGAATTTTTTAATGAAAATACTCAGACTATTAAATAGATGTGGATCACACACAAAAGAAAGAGACACATGAACCAAGAGATGACAAATTGTAAAATGACTGATTCTAAATACATATTTCATAAAGTTAGTTTCAAGCATTTTGAAATTAAAGATTCTATAATGGCTTTTTTTCTGTGTTAATATGTCTCTGTAACCAGGAACAGGTAAAAATGCTTATAAAGCCTTTCTAATTACAGGTAAAGTGACCTACACCTAATCCAACACAGCCCATTTGCTTTCATCTAAATCTTTGTTTTTTTTTAAAAATTAACAGTATAAATATCCAAATATCCAATCCATAAGTATTCGTATAAAAATAACTAAACCAGAGTCTCAAAAAATAGAAAAATAACAGTTATACAGGTTATTAAACATTTATTTCCAGATGTTTTAAAAATACACTTTTATGTATATACATATACATTATGCCTCACTAGAAGCTGTACAAATAATACCAGTTTAACCAACCCTCTTTCTATTCACCTGGCAGATCATAACTTGTCCCAACTATGCTTTTCTCAGGGGTTAAGTAGATATCAAACATACATAAGTGGGAGCTATATACAACAGTGGTATTTTTGAAGGCTTTACGGAGGGACAGCATGAATGTGATAGTGGGAAAAAAAGAATTGGAAATTCTGGCTCAAGACCTGGTCTCTCTAAGCATGAGACCATGGACAAGTCCCCTAGACTTCTGGGTGATGTTCATTCACCTGTAAAATGGAACTTCATCAGCTTTTTATGAAGATCAAATTAGATGGTAGATATCAAAGCGAACTTAAATCCCAGTGAAAATGACCTAAGTCCACATTACCCGGATCATTGCAGTAAGCCTGAAAGGAAAACTTAAAAACAAAATGACTAGAAATCAGTAAGTAGATCATATAAGGTGTATTGTTTCTAACTACATAGTTTTACCACTAGACATCACATTGGGTCCATCTCAAGGTGAGAATGAATGTCCTAAACACTCCCCAACAAGGCACAGGGTCCATAACTGAGCTGGCAAATTCTGTTCTAATTGAACATATGCAATCGTCTGATTATTTGTAAGCTGAATATAGCAAGCTAATAACTAAAACCAAAACAAAAAATATAGAGTGGCTTAAGTTTCAACACAGAAAACTTTTTTAAAGAAAAAATTGAATTAGATGAGGGAAGAGTTTTAAAGCTACTAAGTGAAGTTATCCCAAGAATGGAAAAACAAGCACCACATATACTCACCAGCAAACTGGTATTAACTGAGCAGCACCTAAGTGGACACATAGGTACTACAGTAATAGGGTATTGGGCAGGGGGCAGGGGGGCAGGGGGGCGGGTATATACATACATAATGAGTGAGATGTGCACCATCTGGGGGATGGTCATGCTGGAAACTCAGACTTGTGGGGGGAGGGGAGGAAAGGGCATTTATTGAAACCTTAAAATCTGTACCTCCATAATATGCCGAAATAAAAAAAAAAATAACAATATGGAATGGGTTTGTTAAAAGAGCAAATGGACACTTTTTTTTTTACATCTTCTTAGATAAAGCACACTGAAAATTTTTAAAACCATGCAAAAGTTCTCTGATGACAACTTTGAGAAGGTAATGCTGGTTTGGCTCAAGCCATGGCAATCATAAAAATCAGTGTTCATTCTGTGCTCTAACTGCGAGCCTCTCTGCCTCAACTGTCAGATTTAAATACTGGAATGAGAATCTAAGAGAAAGATATGAGACTCCAATAAAGGATAATATTGTGCTAAGGGGAAAGTAACAGCTAAAGAAAGGAGAAGGAGCTGCCACCAAATCCAAGATCATACACCACAGTCATGTAGAGTCTACTACATGTTCAGGAATTCAGGGTTTCCTTATGCTAATAAGTTTCCATTTGATTGTGCAAATAATTTTACATTAAATCTATTTGGCTCCATATTTTGACTACTTCTATTGTAATCATAATTCTGAACTTTCCCCACCACTAGAGATGTGGTCCCTGCCTTAACTCAGATAAATTAAACCTTATTGCATTCTCTGATTTTGTAAAAAATAGCTTTTAATTAATGTGCTAATACCAGCAATAATTGCAAATTAACAAATGTGATTGCTCTGAATGGTAATAATACACAGTCTTGATTTGGTCAAATAGCTCTGGGTAACCAGTGCTTAATCTCTTCCTTAGTAGGACCAAGAGTTAAGAGATAAGTTATAATCTTGTTTAGAGAATCATTTATGTGTTGCACTTAAGTCTTGACATGAGACATGTGTGTTAAAAATAATGAGATAAAGTAAGACTTGTAATTACTGTAATATATTTCGTCTTATATACACTAAGCCACCCAAAATCTTTTGGTGTAACTTCCGTAGCATTGAAACCAAAGTAAATTTATCTAAAAAAAAACAAACAAAAAAAACCCACATAAACAAAAAAAAACAAACAACAACAGAAAGAAAACAACGAGATACATTTGAGCAAGACAGTCCAAAATTTGCTTTGAATTTTGGCATTACTTACTATAGATCAACTTAAACAAGGGTGGAATAATTACAAAGATCTCAGAGGTAGTACTGGAAATTACAAAACATAATGACTTGCTGGTCGGTAATCACACAACCAGTTTTGTTTCAGTTTGTTCAAGCCAAAAAATTCTGCCATACAACTGATCCCCTACTTGAAATTTAATCCTCTGGGTGTCCAAGACTCCCCAACAAATAGTAAAAACTGTGAAGCATCTTCCTGAATTGTTGTGGCATTTGCAAAGGCCAAAAACTAATATTTGCTTTTAAGAAAAGAGAGAGATAAAGAAAATGACAGTTATAAAACAAAAATGGTAGGGAAATAAAGCATGAAATTATGTTTAGACCTAACCAATACTAAAATGTCAGAATATGGTAATTTCTTCCCTGAAAAATTTAAGTATTTTCAGAAAGTTGGAGGGTGAAATAATTCTTATGTCAGCATATTTGATTATTTTTAAGATGCTGAAATGTTATTTTGTTTTCAAAAAAATCACCTATGTATTTTTTAATGACTTGCCATTATTCTTCAAAGTATAAGAATTTTTCCCTAACAAGGTTTAGTATTTTAAAAATCTGCAAAGGCAATTCTACATTGCCATTAGCTCCCATTATGAAAGTAGAATATTTCCACTTAAATTCCCTGTGCACTACAGAAAACTTCTGGTAATGTGGTGCTAGTCCCCTGGTCAACTGACCTGTATAGTATATCAGCAATAAAAGTGTTCCTCCACAAGACTCCATATTGGGGGCTTCTAGAAATTTGCCCTGATCCCCTTATTGCTGGAGTTTTTCCATTGACTAAAAGTTGTGACTTGTAAATTCTAACATTATTAGACCCAAGTCTGAAAATATCCTCTTCCCCATTCTTCACATTACTAGAGCTAGTTGGTACTTCCTCTAGTATTCCTTTAAGATCAAAATGGCATATTCAAAAGTATCTTAAGTGAGGAATATCTGTAATATATTTCATTTTTCCATACTATGAGCTTTCTTATTGACAACTCTGGCAATCAAATTTTACTATTATGAATTATGACAAAATCTGGGAAAGACTCAAATATATATTGAAACCTCTAAAACTAAACTTAGTTAAATTACATGAGAGATTATTTATGGAATAGGATATCATAAAGTACCTTCTGGATATTACATTTTATGAGTCAACTCAGCTATGCACAGTGACATTTCATAATCTACCTGAAGTTGCTGGTTTAAGACAATTTTGACAGTGCTGTTAAAGGCAAGAAAAAAGATTTCCCAAAGGCACTTATGGGTCATTCTTCTGGGTCATTCTTCCATGGAAGTCTTTCGTAATAAAATAGCACATAAAAATAAGCATACACAGAAATAAATTTGAATGTGTGTGTCAGATCTGTGGAAAATGTCAACTCCTCAAATCCAAAGAAACACAAAAACAACATAATGGAAAAAAATTGAGAGATCCAAATTTTTTGAAATTGAAAAATAAAGAAACTAAAACGTAAAGGGAAAAAAACACAGACTAAAGACCTACAATATGACAATTGGCTAATATAATGTGGAAGGCTTACTATAATTTACAAAAATACAAAGTATTAAAATAATGGCAAAGGATAAAAATAAAATAGGGAATACAGAGAAAACACATAGGAAGATGCTCTAAAAGTAAGCAGAGAAATCCAAATTAAAGCAGATTTATTAATAAGATACATTCTGTACCTACTCTAACAACAAAAAAAAATTAACAGAAATAAAGTAATGTTGAGGTTGCAGCAACAAAATACAAGGTATCAAAATATATGACA